GCCCGGATCATCCAGTTAACTTCAGTAATTAACTTCCTCCAAACCATCAACGTGTATTTCAGACCCCATTCATACAAGGCTGCTCAAAGAAGTTCTACCATTAATTAATGCTTCAATCTTAAATGTGACCTATTTATATCTATTAATGGGCAACAGACCACAGACCATTCACTTAATAAGCCATAACTTTACCCAGCAGCCTTGGCCCAATTAAATTCTTAAAAGAGGAGTTATAAAACAGCTTAATGATTACCTGCAGAGGTTTTAGAGGTTTAGCATTAGTGAATGTTAATATGATCTTATGGGCAAGAACAGTGGACTCTCTCTATGCTTATCTTGGTAGACCTCAGTACAGCATTTATTACTGTTGACCATCATATTTTATTACAGAGATCAGAGCATGCTGTAGGTATTAAAGGTCATTAGCTAACGTGTTTGAATCATCTGGCTAACAGATAATATCTAATCCAGTTTGTTCATGTAAAGGAGGAGTCTCCTCCACACACTAAGTTTAATTATAGAGGGTGCTGCGCTGGGCCTAATTCCTAATAATGTACATTATACATGCTCCCCTTAGGCAGTATCATTCAAATGACACCCAGCTTTGTCTGTCTATGAAGCCAGGTGACACACACTGAACTGGGAACATGTCTGAAACACATTAAAGCCTGGATGACGACCTGCTTATAAGAACTAACAATCTGTGATAAATGTTGAAACAATAATGTGCAACTAAAAGCGTGCTTTTGAGGTGAGTCCACTTAGAAATGTTTTTATTCCTTTTCTATGTATTTAAAATGCATTAATAAGTAAATAAACACAGACTTTGTCGGGGCAGCAGGCGCTCTGCTGCTGGTGGCAGCCCGGCTTCTTCACTTACAATCAGCCAAAGTCGCTCCTACAGTTACCTCTGGAGTAGCTTGCACATCGTCTTGCTGTACATTGTCTCAACAACTTTTTCAGTGTTTTCCTGAATTGGCTGAACCAAAAAAGAAAAGAAAAAAGTAATTATGTTGCATATTTGTTTGTTTGTTTTCATTCTTCGCTCTCATTTCGAACCCTCCTTCAGCTTGTTTTATTCGTTTTGTATCATCTTGCTGTTGTGAGGAGGAATGCTTCTAGCTTCACATTCAGGTTCAGAGTGTAGATGTGTGTTATTTAATGTTTCGTACTTTTTTATACAGCAAATGAGGAACTGAGATCCTCTGCTGTCCTAGCATGTCAGGCCTCCTCTCAGATGCTCAGAGTTTCCGTGTATTTCCAAACTGACATTGTGTCATCACGAAACATGAGGGGAACTTCTTTAATGGCAGGATTCTCATGGTGTCACATCATTGGCATTATGCTTTTACCCCGTTGATAAGAAATACAGCTTTCCTTTATCATCTGTGGACTTTGTCTTTTTACTCCGTCAACATGTGAACGTCTGTATTTATCAACATTTATCATGCATAAGAAACCTAAAATCTTTCTATTTCTTTCTTTTTGCCTGCTCCACGTTCCTCACACAAAGACAGTTTGTTTACACACACACACACACACACACAAACAGTTTGAATGGTTTAAACCTAAATATATATATATATATATAAACAAGTAGTTCAATATAAATATCAAGAATATTACATAGGCCATTGATTGACATTTAACTCTAATCTGTAAAATAATAATGTTGTCGTTTCTCCTTCTAGGATGGTGACTTTGTAAAAGATCATCGTGAAGCACACAGAAGCCAAAGGCCATAAAAAGCCTGGATGGAGCGGCTGCGCTGGGTGCAGCACTGCTGTCGGCAGCTGCTAGCTGGAGACTCGAGGCGGGGTTGGTACTCTGATGGGCTGCCCAACAGCAGCTTGCTGAACGCCCACAGCCCTCGGGGGAGGGTCTGTGGGAAGCAGAGGACGGTATTTCCCCGCAATGGGCGTCACCAACAGGATTCTGAACGTGTATCCAGAAACTACAAAAGCAATGCAATCTCCACTACCAAATACACCTTGCTGACCTTCATTCCCATGAATCTGTTCGAGCAGTTTCACAGGTCAGACCTGAGACAGTTGTTTTGTTTTTCAAACCTATTATTGAGATGAGATTGAGACATTACTGCCATGTACTAATCTGCCCCTCTGCTCCTCTCTGCAGAGCTGCAAACCTCTATTTCCTGTTCTTGACATTGCTAAACTGGGTGCCAGTGGTTGAAGCCTTTCAGAAGGAAATTACTATGATTCCTCTGCTGGTGGTTCTCACAATTATCGCCATCAAAGACGCCCTGGAAGACTTCAGACGCTACTTGTTTGACAAGAAGGTTAACAACAATGTAGTTCGAGTATTCTGTGGGTAAGTGAACCTTTTAGTTTAAGGACCAGTTCATCAGGAAATGCAATTTTCTTACTTGTGTTAATATAGATAAGAATAATCCACAGACTAGAATAGAATACAATAGAATAGGCCTTTATTGTCATTGTACATTTCCAGTGAAATAGTGGGTGCCCCACACCAACTGTGCTGGAATAAACTATAAATATCAATCAGGAGAAATCTTTACAATCAAGAGGGATGTGAGGCACACATCAGAGAAAAAGTTGCTTACTGCTTGGAAGTGCAACAAAAAGGAGTCTTTATGTGAGTGATGATGGTGACTCGGATCATTAGGATTCAGGGGTGGGGGGGTAGTGTTTGGTAACAGCACAAATGGCCCAGAGGAAGAAGCTGTTAGTGAGTCTGGAGCTGTGGGACCTGATTGACCTGAGGCGCCGACAGCAGATCAAACAGGTGGTGGGCGGGGTGTGAGGGTCGCCTGTGATGGCGCTGGTTTTCCTGAGACAAGAGGAGCTGGCGATGACCTCCAGGGGCGGCAGAGGGCAGCCAATGATTGTTTTGAGCTGTGTTATTGACCCTCTGTGCAGCCTTCCTGTTCTCAGTTGTGGCTCCTGCGTAACAAACATCCAGGCGCCCTGGGAGGAGAGCACGCTCTCCACTGAAGAGCCATAGAAAGCCAGCAGCAGCTTCTGGTCCAGGTCCTCCTCAGGACATGGAGGAAGTGCAGCCACTGCTGGGTCGTCTTTACCAGGGCGATGGTGTTTGTGGGTCCACCTCTGTGGAGATGTGGGTGCCCAGAATCCTGAAGGTGGAGACAGACTCCACCCGTTCTCTATTTATAATGACAGGAGCACAGATTACAAAAGTACAGACTTTGTTTACTTAAGTAGAAGTACAGACACCTGTGTTAGAAAATACTCCAGTAAAAGGTACTAATCAAACTTCTTTACTCAAGTAAAAGTGAAAACAGGCTAGTTCCTTGAAGGACAATTCTTCTTTTAGTGAACTTTGTGCTATATTAATATAAAACAATATTAGCACATGAGAATACAAATATTATTCTAATCTAAATTCTAATTCTCATGCAAGCTTCAATCTGTTGTGTAGCTCACAAACAGAGGAAGAGAATTTTAAAAAATAAGTTTTCTGTTGTTCCATTGTTATACTAGAGAGTAGGTGATTCAGTTAATGAATCAAAGTATCATCAGCTTAAATGTTAATTAATTTCTGCTACACCAACATCTACAACACCATCTTTATCTCCAAAACGTTGATTCTGTTCATCTGGACGT